ATCCTTCATTTCTTTACCAAATCAAGAGTTACTCTTTCAGAATAAAGTTGTATTTTATGTAACAGTGATCTATGATATCTGAAGTTTGCATAAAAAGAGTTTTGATCATCATATTTTCTGGTTCAGTGTCAGTAATAACTGACCTGGTAAGTGTGTATTATACATATTATATATATATAATATATAATATATGTGATATATATCACTGGTTGTGTTTTATGGCCCATTTTGATCATTTTATTTATTTAGTTTAATGTCTGAGGAGAATCAACATTAAAGGTTAATTTCTGTGAAACAGTAACAAGGTGATCCATAGCGGCTCCAACCAGGACTCTGACTCTGTGGTCCTCCTTCAGTCTGTGGAGCGCTGAACCTCCAGTTGGGCAGTAACAAGAGCAGAGCCAATAAAAATAGTTTATAAAAGTTTATATTAGGCTATTATAAATAAATATGAATTTTTGAATAAGTCACTGGTTCTCCTCAGGCAGGTCATTCCACAGCCGAAAGGTCCTGATGGCAAAAGCACAGCTACCTTTACATTTAACTTTGGATCAGTCAGAAGGACCAACCTGAGGACCGAGGCTGCAGACTGGGTCATCAGGGGTCAACAGTTCTGCTCTGTAGTAAAGGTGATCAATAAAATCTTGAAATCAATTCTAAAACCTACAGGGCGCTGGTGGAGTAGCAGGGTTGATGTTGTCTGTTAGAACCAGTTCGAACCCAATATATGACCAGTTACCGGTTGTTAGGTTATCGCCCAACCAGTCCACACAGTAACTGAGCAGTCAGGTTAATAATAATATTCATTAATAATAATTAATTTATCATGTCTTTCAGAAGTCATCGTTGATGTCTGGTTTCACCCGGGCCTCGAACATGAAGGACAGGAAACTGGACCATGTGCTGAACTGGATCCACCTCAGCAGACCCACAATGTCTGGACCTGCAAGAGACCTGAACCCTCAGACAACGTACTGAGACTGAGCTCTCAGTAAATTATAAATCAGTGAACACATTCAGGAAGTTCTGTTCTTAAAATGAAAATCAAATAATTTTCATTGTTTTAAGTGTCTGAAAGGTGAACGTGGAACCGAACAGCTGTTGGTGTCTCATCCATTAAAGCGTTCTGATGTTTTGATTGGTGGGTTCTTCAGCTACAAACATGTATTTATTTTATCCGTCAATGTGGGTCAGAGAACTTCTCTTTCTTGTTCCTCCTGAGAGAGTTTTGGGCTGCAGCTCCTCTGATTCTCTGCTGTAATCAGCAGGAAGTAATCAGCCACCGTTAGCTTAAGACGGATTTCAAGTGCTCAGGTCAGAGGCTTTGGACGATTACATCCTGCAGGATCAGGATGGGTCACACAGGACACAGTGAGCCCTGAGACCACAGACTGCCCAGAACCAGCTCCAACAATCAGTTCAGGTACCATCAGAACCACCAGAGCTCCAGAACCAGATCCAACAAACACTTCAATCACTCCCAGACTGGTCTAATTGTCCTCAGGTTCCTTCTGGATTAGATTTAATTGTGTAAAAATGTGTAATTTCTGCCACTAAGGGCTCTCTTACATCCAAACAATAACAAAACAGGAAGTGTGATGAGGTGGTGAAGCAGCGTGGGATCATGGGAGTTGTTGTCTTCACCACCATTGGCGTCATTGCAGTCAGCTTCTCCCGGTTAGGA